GTTGTGATTGGTTTATACATTTGACCTTGACATGTGCTTTGAGGATGTTGTTACAATAAACATGATTGGTTTACCGCTAAATACTTCTTGTAATGAGCGCTACGATTGGTTGCATGATTTATAAGGATTTTCACAACAATAATTTGCTTTAGAGTAAAATGCATGCTTCGCCAAGGCGCGAAGCTTGTTTCTGGCAAATATTTTCCAACTTTCAGCCTAATATCAGGCACAATATATAATGGACATCGTAGTGTGAATAAATATAGACATCATTTTGGTACTTCAAAGTTGAGACAGCTAATGTTCACATCGTTATCGAAGGTATGAAATATACACACACACTGTATGATCAAACAAACCACAGAACCAGCTGCGTTTGTGACGTTCTAGTTTCTCTCAAATACTACCACTTGTTTAATACGAACACCTCTTGTCTGCTTCAAGTGACAGTTTAATATCAGTCTCGGCTGAATATACATTTTTATAGCAGAAATAGACGCACAGAACGATTGCTGTTTGTATAGCTTAATTGATACATGTTTAAATTATAATAATAAAGTAAGCAGTTCTTGCTGGGCTCATAGGACACCAGGAAATATATAAAAGCGAATCTATAAAGATCCCATGCAATATTAAAATTTTGGTTATGTCAATAATTTGTGGCACTGCAGCTAGCTAGCTGGGAGCACAGCTATTTGAATTTTCCACAAGAATATATGCCACTGACCTCCACAAATGGAACATTTCAAATATATTCAACATAACTATAAAATTATTTTCAGTTAAATCTAGCATTAGTGTTACACTGTAAATCATCCATAATTATCATAGGTGTACAGAGAGTACACTTTTCAACCCCCTCCCACAGCGACTTAACTGATGATGGTGGGTCTATAGTTCAACATTTAAAAAGCGTATGGTGGTTATGAACCTGCCTACCTGAAGCGTATAGTTTCTACACTTCAGGAAATGTTGGTAGTTATGGACAACCCATAATTGAATTTCATTAGCCTTTACATCATTGTGAATTACCATTTGCATGCATGTAACACTAACAGCATGATCTTTATTCCATACCGTATAGGAAAAATTGAACACATCTGTCCTGCAGAGCTAGTACAAATTTACATTAGCAACTATTGAATCAGTGAGGGATGTACATATAATAAAGCAAGTGTTCAAATAAATGCAGCCAAATCAAAATTGTTTGTCTCCACACTACACTTCCTCATCAATGGACAGCTCAATGAGAACAAATGTTGTGGAGAACTGTGGTTTGGACATTGCAGGCTGGCTGCACATTTTGCAATGATGTACATGCAGGAGATCGGTTGTTGAAGCATGAATGAAATCAATTTCCAAAAAGCTCCAAGGCTTACTTTTTGAAATGACTGAGAATAGGTCATTCCAGAAAACATCCATACCACCCCCACAGAGGAAATAGGAAGTTAACCCCCTTTGGATGTCCTAATACATTTACTATTATCAGAAACAATTTTTTCTCCCCTCCCCCTCCGGACGGCAGAAATTTCCTCCGTGGGGGGAGTATGGATCTTTTCTGGAATGATCCAATTCGTTTTCCATATGAGTGAGAGTTCCTACAGCCGCATGTGAGGATGCATATTACCACCTCTTTTCTCTACCCTTGTATAGTACAGAGAAGGAAAAACAAAGACCAGATTTTGAACCAAGTAACTTTGTTATATTTTAACTTAAAACAGCACTGTATATAACTTTAAATACTGTAAAAAATGAAATATCAGCTAAATACTAATTCAGTAAGAATTGTCTTGGTATGGAAATATCTCTTTCTGTTGTATATGCATTGTTGAATTGCCATGTCACTTTCTTGAGTATTACCAGAATATTAAGTATAGTTGAGCCAGCTTCCTAATATTATGGAATCTAGGATAGTTGTCGACTTTGTGGTTTTCTTAATAATCTCATTAATATTATCAACATTCCTATATGTGTAGACCAACTCCCATCCCCAATAAGTTGTACATATACAGTTGCAGTCTTCTTGACAGTCCTTGTTTTATCCATATTGATGTTTGAGAAGCATGAGTATCTAAAATATAATGCAATTGATTTGCATTTCATTTCACAAACTGGAAACCTAAATCTATATGTTACACTAAATCTATCCAATTAATTTATTAACAGTAGATTTATTCTAATTGAGGGAGAAACATACTTATGACATAAGTTACATTTGAACAAAACTATCTCTAAACTGGTTGGCAATCTTTTAGTTTTACTGATTCACCATTCAGTGCACAATATAAATTTGCAATACAAATGAAATTTCTGCTGTCTGAAAGGGGATTGGGAAATGCACTTTTAGATAGTAAAATGTACTAGGATGTGTAAAAGGAATTATGGTAGTTCTAATCTCCTATGTGAGAGCTGTGGATCTAAGGCAAATTATTCCACATGTAAGCACTTTGCATACTCCAAGGAAATAAACTATAAATTACAGTATTATTATATAATAGAGTATTTATTAACATGCGATAACTTTTAGTCAAAATAACTTGAACAAGTGCAACGTTCACAGTGTAAAATGGATTAGTGATGAGTCTATGGATGGCCCACTAGTAAATTACTTCATTTATATCAAATTATAATTTCTCAAAACTAGGCGCTTTAAAAAAATACTTTGTAGGCATATTAGCACCAGTCATAGGGCCATTATTGTTGAATTATAATATGAATAAAAATAATATATTGTAGTTTTTCAATTACCTTCACAGTGACAGTGCTGTCAGACTGCCAGTGCAAGCAGCCGTGAGACATGACAAACAACGCGGATTCTTCGGCCAGGAAGATATAAATTAGACTGGCTAGCTTCTTGTTATTTTCTCTCTCTAGACATCTTTATTTTTGAAGAGAAATTACTTATCTAAAGGTATATTTTAGCAAAAAAATACATTTCCAAACTGAAATATTTCATCTCAAGAAGGCCATGAAAAATTTGTACGCCAGCAATGAATTGGTCAGCGCCAAGGCAAATTCGCTTTCGCGCATGCACTAAAATGTCCATGAATCGTGGAGATTTTCGCAGCCTTTACCAGGGTCTTCTCATTTTTCACGCGCCATGTACGAAGAAGACCCTGGGGACGAGGTTGGTTGCTTAGTTGATAAACAAAATGTTTCAGACGATAAATTTGTCAACAATCACCTTCAGTTCATGTTCTTGTACAATACAATTTCTTGAACCTTCTGGCTGTATTTATTCCTAGTTTTTAGAATGACATGTTTATTTTTGCGCTCGAAATCTGGCTGTAAAGACGCACAATGAAGTCACTCATTTTTACCGCCATTTTGAGCCTTCGGAAACGTTCGGAACAGCTTCTCATCAAGTTCGCAATACTATTACAGGATCTATGATTACAGGTAAGGTTGACGCATGCGCAGACGTTTTTCCGCGGTGTTCGTCCCCAGGGTCTTCCTCGTGGTGGCGCGCGAGCTGAGACCAGTGAACTCTAATAAGACTGGAACGATAACTCAGGTAAACATGCCCATACTTGCCTGAAGCCAACCGAGCAAGGAAATTGCACTTTTAAAAGGACTAAGGAGAGTTTCGAGGAGTGGAAAATTCAGTCAAAGTTTATTTTCGACGAAAGAAAAGTCGTTTTTCATCGAAAGACTTCAATTTTAAAAACCCAAATACGATTTATTTCATAGTTAGAACTGCTTTGCATCTTACAACAGCAAAAGTTTGAAGGGTATCAGGTTTGTTTTCATAAAAACGACACTAGTCGAACGTGCCGAAGTGAACTTTGCTCTTTAACTAAAAAAAAAACAACTTTAAAACGTAAGTCTACGGACCAATACCTTTTTTGTATTAACGTCTAGGTATAGTTGTTTATTTTGAG